CCCCTGTATTCTCCTTATTGCGCTCCCTCACTGTATTCTCCTTATTACGCTCCCTCTCTGTATTCTCCTTATTAACCTCCCTCTCTGTATTATCCGTATGCCGCCCTCTGTATTCTCCTTATCCCCCCCTGTATTCTCCTTATTACCCCCCTGTATTCTCCTTATCCCCCCCTCTGTGCACTTCCTGTCAGTCTGGCCGGGCACCGTGGACTGGAGAGTAGCTCGGCCACGCTACAGGGAAGGGGAGGTGAGGAGAGAGGCAGTGCTGCAGCCGCCTGAGGCTCTCTATAGAGTGCTCAGGTGGCTGCAGCATTAGAAGGGCCAGCTGCCTAGTTCGCCTTATAGGAAGCACCGGCCCTGATGGCCACCTGTGTAATAACATTTCCACCATTATGACATACCATTTTCAAAAGTAGGCAACCCAGTGTATTCTTGATCACAAATGCAGGCCTCATTTTGTGGTTACAAATTCCATTTTCACAGGACTATTCATAATCCTGGTGTGCACTAGTGTAATAAAGCCTCAATATTTTTACTCAGCAAATTTTTACTGTCCCAAATTAGTGCCTAAAATATTTTAGGCATGTTTTTTTTCTTGTGACAGGAAGGTGTTAAAAAAAAAAAAAAAAGGTAAAACTGCTGCAGCTGACAAAAAGGGTGAAAACATGTTTTTTATCCTAAATTTTTTTTTTTAAATATTAATAGTACCAATATTAATAGTACTAATCACCCTAATCAGACTGAACACAAGGTTAAGGCTAAGGCTGTGATCAGCACTGTCTAAAAGGATTAAAAAATATATTTTGAGGCAAAGAGAAGGGCCGAGACAATGTCTCAGCCAGTGTTACAAATCATTGGCTAAAACATTGCTGCTGTGATCACAGTGACAGACTGTCACCGTGATCACGTGCTGCAGATCGTCATCATTGGCGAGAAGGAGAGAAGAGAGGCGGACTGGAGAGAGGGCTAAATCGTTAGGACATTTAACGTCATTTAAGCCCGCCTCCTGCACGACAGCATAGCACGCCCTAACAGCATTAATGAGTTAAAAGGGCATATAAATATAAAATGACAACCCACTCCTTAAAGTGGCAACAAAAGAGTAAAAAAAAAAAAAAAAATGATTATTCATGCAAAGACAAATATATTTGCTATTTTTTATTCTGTTAGATTTACTCCGATTTTTGCATACAGGAGAGTAGTGCATAAACACCAGAAAAATACCACAAGAGAACAAAAATATTATAAAAACAAACACAATACTTCATGTGATCCGCTAAATAACCTGCTTTATTATGCTTTTTAACCCAATAGTGACCAGACCGATTTTCCATTTTCTTACTGTTAAGGACCACAGCTGTTTTTTCTGCGGTGGTTGTGTTTAGCTGTAATTTTCCTCTTACACATTTACTGTACCCACACATATTATATACAGTTTTTCTCGCCATTAAATGGTCTTTCTAAAGATACCATTATTTTTATCATATCATATAATTTACTATATATATTAACTGCCTACAACTGCAAAAAAACACCTGTGCTAAATAGTTTCTAAATTTTGTCCTGAGTTTAGAAATACCCAATGCTAACATTAGGGATGTGCATGGGGAAATAATTTGTTTCGGATCGGCATTCCGAAATTTGGGACTTCGGCACTTCGACACTTCGGAACTTTGGCAACTTCGGCAATTCAGCTATTCGGACATTTAGAAGTATCCGAATGTCCGAATTGCCCGAAATTTGTCCGAATTAACATTCGGAACGAAACGAATTGCACATGTCTAGTTAACATGTTCTTAGCTTTTTTTGTAAAGTTATAGGGCTATAAATACAAGCAGGACATTGCTGTTTCAAAATATATATTTTTCAATAGTGACATTACATAGTTACATAGTTACTTAGCTGAAAAGAGACTTGCGTCCATCAAGTTCAGCCTTCCTCACATATGTTTTTGCTTTTTATCCAAAAGAAGGCAAAAATACCTAGTCCGAAGCGCTTCCAATTTTGCAACAAACTAGGAACAAAATAACTCCCAAAATAGCAGTCAGATGTCTTCTTGGATCAATTAGCTATTACCCCACTAATTAGAAATTATATCCCTGTATGTTATGTTTTTGCAAGTATTTGTCCAATTGCAGTTTAAACATCTGTATGGACTTTGATAAAACCACCTCTCCAGGCAGAGAATTCCATATCCTTATTGCTCTTACTGTAAAAAAAAACTTTTCTTTGCCTTAGATGAAATCTCCTTTCTTCCAGCCTAAATGCGTGACCTTGTGTTCTATGTATAGCCCTGTTTATGAATAGATTTCCAGATAATAGTTTGTACTGGCCCCAAAAATATTTGTATAATGTTATCATATCTCCTCTGAGGTGCCGTTTTTCCAAACGAAAGAGATTTACATTTTTTAACCTTTCCTTGTAACTAAAATGCTCCATTCCTTTTATCAATTTTGTAGCTCGTCTCTGCACTTTTTCTAGTGCCATAATATCCTTCTTTAGAACAGGTGCCCAAAATTGCACAGCATATTCAAGGTGTGGTCTTACCAGCGATTTATAAAGAGGCAAAATTTTGTTTTCATCCCGAGAATTTATGCCCCTATTTATACATTACAAAACCTTACTGGCCTTAGCAACTGCAGATTGACATTGCATATTTTAACACTGTTATCTGTCATAAATCTCTGAATCACATCTCACATATTTTTTTTAAAGTAGACAACCCAGGGTATTCAATATGGGACATGTCCAGTCTTTTTTAGTAGCCACTTAGTCACAAACACTTGCCAAAGTTAGCATTATATTTGTTTGTGTTAAAAATGCAAAAAACGAACCGCTGAAGCGAGAAGACACTAACCTGTGCAGCTCCTGCTTCACACCACAATTTAAGCGGTTTTCAGCCATAAAAAAGCAACCCAATCGGCTCAAAAAGGCCACCAGGTGGAAGGTGACACGGAGAGGCACAGGATGGTGCCACACAAGCGACTTGTGCGGCGCAACTCACCCGCTTCTCCTGCATGGCCTTCTCGCATGATCAGCGCGAGGGAGACGGCTGCTCCCCCGCTGGCATCCACAGCGGACAGACCGAAACAAGGCCCACGTTCCCCCCCCCTCTGGACCAGTGGGGGTCATCCCGGTCCGGCCCGAGCACAACCTGACGAAAGCGCTACGGCAATTACAGGACCTGAACCAAGCAGTAGTACCACACACAAAATGGCAGAGACAGTGTACTCAACCAGCACTTGAGACGAGCAGACTGAGGCAGAGAACCGGCTGGACAAAGCCTTTCAAGTCTTCTGGGAAAAGCTGGAAGCTCTTCTGTCCCCAACAACCCCGGAGAAAGGGCCTGACACCCTGCCACGCATTCCCACAAGCTTACCCAAACAGAAGACCACACAAAAACTCCTACCACTGGGCTGCACGGAAAAATGGAGCTGGCGGGAAATCATGCCGAGGCAGGGGACCAAAGATACGTCTGGCGGCAACAGGAGCAAGAAGGCAGCCCCCTGGAACACGAAAGTACCTATGCCGAGGCGCACTAACCCATTCACCCATCACCCTGGAGCTCCCAGACACCGGCTGAAGGTGCGAGTTGCTGCAGCGAGATCCCCCTGTAACCAACCACATGGGAAAGGGATATAGCAACCGAACAGACGGCACCTGAGGGGGCGCCCCACGAGCCACGAACCAAGCACCGCTCTGATCCAGCCCATGCCTGCCAGACAGCAACAGTGACGGCAGGACCACACCGGGACACAGACTCTCATTGAGGTATCAGGGGGAAACCCGAGGGGACAGAGAGGCCCACCCTACCAAGCTGGGAAAGTCGGCAGCATACCTACTGGGCACGGGACTATGCTTACATCCGGGATGGCATAGATTAAGCTGGGCCTAAGGGACTTAATGTCCATAACCTAACCTTTTGGGGAGATATGGGAAACAGCATACCAGCTGCACAGAAGATATGCTATCCTGCCTTTTAAGTTCCGATATATATCATTGTTTTTTTTGTCTCTATGATTTTTTCCAAGCGATCCTCAAGGGAAGCAGCTATGTGTTTAATTTACTCATATTACCTAAAAGGGTTCCAGCGCATACTCACCGCCCCTCACCTAACATTACCCAGCCTCTACACACACGTACTGAGGGTTAGGATACCATAATATATCACATATATTTAGGCTGCGTCCCCTACTTATGCCTGTCTGCCCGCTGCGGACCAAAACCGCTTACCACTACTAAGCACTTGTCTCCGACCTCCCTGACGTTGCTTCTTACTACTTAACTCATTGACTCTACACTGTTACTGCAAAGTACATCACTAACAATTAGTTTTCTTTTTATTATTTTTAATGCGCTATGTAGGCATACACCCAAACAACTAGCTTGCTTTAAAGAAAGTACTGTTACCTCTGCTAACTTCACATCTAGTTAATTCAATCACTGTGCCCCTAATGCCTATATGTCACACTACAACCAAGATTCACACGCATAACCTAAAGAGCAACTAGTTCTGTTCTATGCATGTCTAGCCTAGCAAGTTATACTACAAACATGATGTTTAATCATATGATATTTTCATGTAGTATAAAAAATGTGCCGTCTAAGCTGCCACGCTTTGTAATGTTACGTAAATGCTTGTAGAAGCTGTCGTGGCTCTACACGCTCGTTGTTAAACTATGCACAAGAAAAATAAAGAATTTTTCAAAAAAAAATGCAAAAAACACATACCAACACTTGGACAAAAAATAGACACTCACTGAGTATAGCCCCACACCCGTCCCCTCTGTACCCAATCACACATAATCCACACTTTCCACCAGGCACCCACCAATCTTCATTTGCATCGTACCAATTTACACACTACTTAACACTGTGCACATTTTTAACAACCCAAAGTATTAATCTAGCAAATTCTACGGAGGCTGGAGTACCTCAGTCGGCACTACAACGATACCGACATTACCAGCTTGCACATTTTCTTTCTCCACTCTCGACTTACTCAAAGGAAATAGACACCTTACCACATTTGAAAATTACTGTGCTTCCGGCAACATAAAAACCGAAACATTTATCTGTCATGTATAAACTATTAATGAAAGAAAACCCTCCCTCCCTACACAAATACACAAGGTCTTGGGAATCTGAACTCAACATTCAAATGACGCATACAGACTGGACGCACATATGCATCAACCTTCACAAGACCTGTGTTAGTAAACACACTCAAGAAGGTAACTTCAAAATACTGTCCAGGTGGCACTTCACTCCATCTAAAATACATAAGATTTTCCATAATGCATCAGAGTCTTGTTGGAGATTCAAGTTCCCCAAAGGTTCCCCACTGGGTCATATCTGGTGGACCTTGCATGATCATCAGTGAATACTGGTCTAAAATACTCAACGTGATTAATTTGGTAACAAATAACAAACTGCCTACCTCACTTGAAATGGTGCTTTTCTTCCATTGCCCAAAACCAATCTCCAAACTTACGTAATTGTTGATCACACACTTGCTGACACGCTTATCCCAACGCTCTGGAAACAACCAAGAGCCCCTGCAGTTAGGGAATGGATTCACAAAGTCGAGTACATCTATTTTATGGAAGAAACCCATTATTCTTTGACACGGACTTATGGACTATGCGTCAACACGTGGGCTCCATGGATCCATTTTCTGAATGTAGACAAACAGGTAGGCACAAGACCGACACACCTGATATGAGGGTACAAAGAAATCACCCCCCGCACAGGTTTAGGTACTAATCCATATGTATCACTAGTTCCATATGCATTATTAGTTCTCAGTTCTTCTTTTGATTTATGCTTTATTGTTTTAAAAGTCATCATGATACTTTGCCAGGGGTTGCAACTCCCCATAAATGTGTTACTACAAACTATCTTGGGAGTCCTTTGTACACTGTACAAACCGATAACTTAAATAACCTGACCAGCACAATCTTAATTGATACTTTGCGACCAATGATACACTGTACTTTAATGGTAACATACTTGTAACTCTCGTTGAAATTTAATGAAAATTATTTTGAAAATAAAAAAATAAAAAATGCAATTATAAAAATAAAAACAATTATGAACGCTAACTTTGACCAGTGTTTGTGACTACTAAAAAAGACTGAACATACCCCACTTGCAATACCTTGGGTTGTCCTCTTTTGCAAATCGTATGCCATCATGGGCTTAATTCTCATTCCTGGGCTACCATACGGTCTCAAAGACAACATAACCAATCTGGCAAATTTCAATGTGAAAAAACAGAAAATCAAGTCTTATATTTGACCCTGTAACTTTGAAAATACTATAAAACCTGTACACGGGGAGCAGGGTGTACAAATATTGCTGAACTGAAACAGTTCTGTAAAGAGGAATGGTCAAGAATTACTCCTGACTGTTGTGCACGTCTGATCTGCAACTACAGGAAACGTTTGGTTGAAGTTATTACTGCCAAAGGAGGTTCAACCAGTTATTAAATCCAAGGGTTCACATACTTTTTCCACCTGCACTGTGAATGTTTACATGGTGTGTTCAATAAAAACATGGCAACATTTCATTCTTTGTGTGTTATTAGTTTAAGCATACTGTGATTGTCTATTGTTGTGACTTAGATGATGATCAGATCACATTTTATGACCAATTTGTGCAGAAATCGAGATTATTCCAAAGGGTTCACATACTTTTTCTTGCAACTGTAGATATATACCATATATACTCGAGTATAAGCCGAGTTTTTCAGCACATTTTTTGCTTACATTGCCATAAAAGAGCAGGACCCCCTGGCTCATTACAAGCCCGGCAGCAAGCTGTTACTTACCTTTGCAGCAGCTCCGTTCATCTCCCCAGTGTAAGTGTCGTGAGACCCGCGGCCGTCAGAGGGTTGCCACGTGTTACAGAGGCAACGCTCCGCGTGGCACGCAGACCGCGAAATTTATACTGGGGAGATGAACGGAGCTGCTGCAAAGGTAAGTAGCAGCTTGCTGCTGGCCCCCCCACTGCTCAGTACATGCCACTGGACCACCAGGTATCAAGTAGGGAGGGGGGACAAAAAAATAAAAATATTAAAATCAAATTATAAAAATATTAAAATAATAAAAATGCCCTCCCCCCACCCAGTTTACACACAAACACAAACACACTCTGCATCATATACACACACTGCATTCACACAAACACACACTCTGGATTATATACACACACTGCATTCACACAAACACACACTTTGCATTATATACACACACTGCATTCATACAAACACACACTCTGCATTATATACACACACTGCATTCATACAAACACACATTCTGCATTATATACACACACACACACACTGTATTATATACACACAAACTGCATTCACCCAAACACACACTCTGCATTATATACACACACTGCATTCATACAAACACACACTCTGCATTATGTACACACACTGCATTCATACAAACACACACTGCATTATATACACACACTGCATTAATACAAACACACACTCTGCATTAAATACACACACTCTGCATTATATATACACACTCCATTCATACAAACAC